AGCAAAGAGAAGTCAAAGATATCGGGCGATAATTTGAAGGAATTAGGAAAGATCCACCACCTTTATAAACTGGGGTAATGAGAGCCTTTTTCCAATCGAAAAGAATAGAACCTAGATCATAAGATTGACAAAACAAATTGTGTAAAGAAGGCCCAAGATGATGCGCAAAATGATGCAAAATAAAACCAGGAACCTTATCAGGACCAGCAGCCTTATGCGGGAATATATTCTCAAGTACCGAGCACACGCCACTTAGGGAGATGACAATTTTGCTCATCAGGGGTAACTTATAGTTTAAACTTGAAATAGGTGTTACACAAGAAGTAGAGAAAACCGACTTGAATTGATCACTTAACAAACAAGCTTTGAATGCAGTGGGATCACAGGAAATACCATCACTACGGAGAACAGATGTGATACCAGTTTCCCGTTTTTACACTTCATAAATCTCCAAAATGGTTTAGCGTCTCCATCAGCAAGTTTATCACAAACAATACCATTTAGAAAATTTCGATGGAGTTTACGATTATATTGGGAAACAACATTTCTTTGATTGCGACATCTAGACCAACTAACAGGCGTTTTAGAATGCCTCGCTGGCCTTTCGAAACAAGCGATCCCTCTTCCTCATAGATTTCTTTAAGGAAGATGACAACCAAGGAACTGAAGCCTTATTACGAATATTCTTACGAGGGTCATAAGAATTTACACCTGCGGTGATGGCCTGTTTTATTAGCAACCAATTAGATTCAAGGGATCTCTTTGACGAATTACTGGAAAAGTATGAGGCATTAAACTCAGTAAAATGATTCGAAAATGCCTCTTTGTCAGCCTTATCAAAATGAAGAACCTCACGAGTTCCTAAGTTAGCTGATTTGACTGGAGAAAGATCTAGATTAAAGATGACACAATCATGGTCACTAATACCAGGGACCACAGATATAGATGAAACCAAATTAAGAAAATTAGTAAAAAATAAATCAAGAATGTTGCTACAAGATTCCGTACATCGAGTAGGCTGAGTAACAAGTTGAGTCAAGGAATGATTAGCACACAAATCGAGCAGTTGACTACATAAAATATGAGTATCTCGTTGGCCAGTCACTGAATAGGACTGCCAATCAATTCCAGGCAAATTGAAGTCACCACAAATAAGTGTAGGTGGATAAGACTCATGACGAGAGAAGAAGGCATTCACAGAATTAGCAATTCCTGTGAATTGATCAAGAGGGGGCCGCCTGTATCCAACCATAGAATATAAGGGCTTGTAATTCTTAATATTTAGCTTCACCTAAGTGAATTCAGCTCCTTTTTCACCAAATGAAGTAACTAAAGATATAGAAATTGACTTCTTAACAGCAATAAAGACACCACCACCATGACAGTTTCGATCTTTCTTTTTAATATTAAAGTTAGCGGGAAACACCTCACTGGATGCAGGGGATGCAGGAATCCAAAATGCAGGGATGCAGGAGTCCAGTTTAGATTCAGTGCCAAGAACAATATCTGGCAAGTGATCGTTTATTAGGTTAAGGAATGCAGGATTAGAATCACCTTTGATGCTATTGAAGTTACCCCAAAGGAATTTCAATTTATTCCTAGGTCAATAATTCTTAGCAGTGCATTGAGAGGGAATTCGAAGTTGAGCACCGTCATCTTGAAAAGAAGTAGAGGCTTGAAGGGGGAAAAGGAATTTGGCTGCGACAAATCATCAATATCAAAAAAACAGAAAGATATCAGAAAGATTAGGAAGACCACAATGTGAACAAATCCAAACTAAGTTTTGGGAATTAACATGTTCGAATTAATTAAAAATATTCACACTGTTTCGTCGCATACACAACATACACTTTATTCATGTTAAATAACTACAGATTTATGCTCTATATGCTCCGCTCGAAACTTTTGCAAGCTCGATGATGCGAATTTTTACAGAGTAGTCGAATCACGTTTTAAACACAAAATTGGTCAACCGGTCATCATGGCTACGCCACTTGACGGAATGTCAAAACTGCACAACAAGATCCATTTTACTTCTAATGCTTTCTAGACGTCCACGAGGCATCTAACTTGCGTGCACAATGCAAATTATTGCACTCTATAGTGCCGAATTTCACTGGAAAAAATGCCAAAAAAGGCCTTTATTTCTAGAGACCAAATAGTGCAACGGTGAACAATTTGCGGAGGCAATATGCCTTATTATACAAGCTTCTTATTAAGCGCAAAGGACCTAATTAGGGCCGAGTCCTCTCCCAGAAAATTTTTGCATTGTTGTTAATTTTGGTAATTTGTCTTAACCATGCACCACCGGTATTTGGAATTCGAAATAGGGTTAAAAGAAATTCTATACATTTAAGCGGAACTCCCGATCCCGCGGGGGTCGTACCCCCCCCCCCTTCACTTACACACACACACGGCTACGCCCCTGGGCGGCTGGGAAGTGCTTGCCTTGCGTGCCGGGAAAAGCTTAATTGTTTACAGAAAGTTAACAATTACACTTGGTGTCACTTGCGACGTGGATTCAGCCGGGGGGAAGGGTAGGCTCCCTACTCACTTTTTTGGGGTAGGGGTGCTCCACTTAAATGGGACAATTGAGGGCAAAAAGAAGGCTTGGCAGTGAAAACATGGGTCAAAAATGTAGCTCGATAGTGAAAACATGATGAGGCAAAAAGATGGCTCGCCAATGAAAACATGGGGTAAAAAGATATGGCTCGACGGTGAAAGATGCCGGCAAGGGAAAAATTGGGGGCACAAAGATGGCTGGGAAAAAATGGGGGGCAAAAAATACCAAGAAAAACGAAAAATGGGGGGCAATAATGCGGCGTATTATATATATACTAGCAGACTAATACCCGTACAACGACCAAATCGTGCCTTAAAATATAAACTTCATGTAAGTGACACAGTTGAAGTTAAATATTTCATGCAACTGAAAAGAAAATTTGTTGGGAAGAAACAAAGAGCGCAATTCTATAAGTGAGCAGGGGAAAAAGTGCTCAGTTGGTAAGGAAAATACCGCAAAATCTATCTATCTGTCTATCTATCTATCTATTTATCTATCTATCTATCTATCTAT